GGAGGGGGTGCTATTCGAATTTCAATTTTAAGAAAAGTTAACGAGCCGCGAGGTAAATGAAAACGTTCTTCATATAATTTTCAAATGGATATCGAAAACAGATGTGCCATCTGTCGAGAGACGAATATGCGAATTTTTGCCACGTGCAATTTTGCGACTTTGCCAAGTTTTAAGTAATACTGGAAACAGTCGCTTCGTTTACAGGACAGAAGTATCGCATAATCTGTGTGAAACAAATTGTTTCTGCTAATATATCTATATATATACTATATATATATATATATATTTCCTCGTGAATTTTAAAGGGCAACAATATTAACCCTGAGAATTTCAATTAACATCGCGTAATCGCGAACGAGACGCGATGCAGGTTCTGATCACCTTTAAGACATTGGCTTGCGGATGCTGAGGAAGCCGCCTTAATTAAGCTGTCAATTGAAAACCGGTCCCCCTTGAAATAAATAATAAAATGTTCATTTGAAATCATTTTGATTCCATAAAGAATGTACAGTCTATAGGAGATCCGACGATTTGTCATATTTGTGTGAAAAAGTAAAAGAGCCGAAATCAAATTAAAGTGCGTTTAAAGAAAATATTTTCCTTTCGTTTCGGCCGTCATGAGGTATAGCTAAATAAAGACGTTACACTTTGAGAAGGAACAGAAGGTCTTTAGCCGGGTCACACTCACTTTGCCTTTAATCAAGTCAATTCGGTCAGCTCGAACAGTATCTCTATTATTTAGGGAAAATATATATTTTTTAACGCACCTCGGTGAACCCTAGAGAAACAAGTATTTCGCACACTACATCTCAAAGTGAACATAAAGAATTATTAACTCTGATCTACCTGGAGATGAGAAATTTAAATCGTCATTAATTCTCTGAATGACAAATTTTTAATCGGACGTATTTTCTCGGTCCAGCTGGCAAGGAGCCCCGTTCGGTCATAACTTCCTGCGACTGTTTTACTCTACTTAAGTTTCCAGTTGATTCCCCAGCGAAAAGCGGACTGTATCCGTTAGCCGTAGCCAACTTCAGTTCGGTCGTTCGAAACAGACCGAAGTTGTCTCGTGTGGGAAATTACTGGGCAACGGGGAAGCGGGTGGAGTTAATGCTAGCCTTGTAAACAGTTTGAGTAGTGGCAGTGATTAGATGGATTAGAAGTAAGTGGCGATAGTTACTCCTCAGTCGTCACGCATTACGGAAGAAACTATCCGGAAGGCACGAAGTTGCTGTCACGCGTGCTGCTTGTCGAAGGATCGTAAAGCCTTGTCGACAAGTTTCGCCTACGCAACTACGACGCCGGAATACATTTCACCGTTAAACCCGCTGCCACCGCATTTCTTTTACTGCTTATTCAATGCCTTGCTGTATATAATAATAAATGAGCTACTTGTTCTCGCGAACTTACCTGATAGCTGTCGTTCCGATTGTGATCTCGGTTGTTGATGGATCTGGAAAAACAAAAATAAAAATTGTAAAAATCTTTATACAACTAAAAACATGGACTCTTGTGGATACAAAGGGAGCATTGGAAAGATAGTGTCTCTGAGACATAGTCCATGTTACGTCGGGGATGTCAAATAAAATAGGAACGAAAGTCTGTGACTTAACGATATTCAAAAAATTTTTGAAAGTTCAAGACTTCAGAATTCTTTTCGAAAAAAAATGCACAGAAGTACTTTTTCGTGAATTTGTATTTTTTTTTTACTGCTACGTATATTTCGGAGGTCTACGTATACCATCGGAGGTATTCGAAACTTCTAAAGAAACGAAAGTTACAGTCAACGAAGCTTCAGGACGTCCCGACGTCCCTCGTACTGTACCTCGGCGATGGTCTGCATCTGTGCTCTTTAGAATTGCCAGACAAAGTGAGCCTGGCGCTCCTGAAATTGTGGCATTTATATCGTGGGAGAGGGAGGCGCTCTTTTAAAACTGCGTAAATTTTGAAAAATTTCTCTTAAAAGAAAAAAAAACACTAAGGCAATCGAGAATCCCAAGGAGACGTCAGGATGCGCAGATGCGGCGCGTTGATATTGCCGGAGTAGAAAATACATGTATAAGAGGGGCGAAGGGAGAGAGCGAAGATTGCGAGGATCGCGAAAGGGGGAAATGGAGAGATAAATCAAATTTATATTATTAGAATTGCGGATGGGAATCAATTTCGGCAGTCTTTCAAAAAGGACACTCTCCGAGAGCCCGTAAACACGTATCGCTACGCGATGGCATTTGCTGGCGTCCATGTACTTGCACGTGTGTTGGGCTACGGAGCATCGTCGATGATTCGAGGCGTCGCGACGACGATACGAGAGGAGTCGGAATCCTATAGGAGGGAAGCGCTTGATAAATGACTCTGAAATTCTTTTAATGTTATTTTTGACGATTAGCTAAGTGCGGCTTCGAGATGACGTATTTATACGGAGCGATCTGTACAAATATCGCGCGAACGACAAACACGAACTTGAGCCGAGATGCGATTCGGCTTTAGATTCATTTTTCAAGAAGATTCGCATTTCCAAGTGAATGGGCGATAGCGCGGGATTCCGTGGGATTCTGTGAGATCCTGTGAGAGAGTCTCTCGAGATTTTCAGTAGGCTGCACCAATATCATAATCCTATTTGGAGGCTGAAACGTCTGTACTATATCGAGTGGGCAGACTTTGCCTTCCTGATCGGTAAGCTCATCCTCTCTCACCTGAGCTTTAAATACGGGCTGGTTATTCGAGGGTCGAAGGATACCATCCGATTAATACGTAACACGGCTCACTGGTCCATTAGCTTTGATCATTCACGAACACGCGTGTAGCCAACGTGTTCGCGTGTGTACTCGGGGTCCCTTGGAAAGACTCGGTCGTGCATGCCAGAGCGGTTTAGCTTCTATACGGGTAGGCTATTTTACATTGAGGATTCTCGGTATCGGAAATTTCGTAAAAAAAAAAAGAAAAAAAAAAGAGAAAAAAAAACAGAGCTCTCTTTTCTTCTCCAGAAATCGTCAAAGTAGAAGAAAAAAATAATATATCCTCCTCGCGAATCCTACGTCAATTTCCTGAAAGTCACGAAGACTCTACTGGATGAAAATGGAAATATCGTTTATCAGCTTCCATGGATTCCTGGTAACGGCATTGCTGATGTTATCGAGAGAATCCCGTTAGACACCTAGCGAAAATTCAAAATATCACGTTAACGACCCACAGTTTAGCGTTAGATAAAAGGCATCGGCCATTTCGACGCGTGGCTCTTTATAGCGAAAGAAAATATTTGAATGCCAGCCGTGCATTCGGACAGAGGGTGCTTTTAGCATCAAAGCGGCCCAGTCTAACCTTCAATATGTCTATGTATATCCAGTGAAAATTAACGCTGGCTATAATACTGGCTCTCGTGAAATTATGCGGGCAGAAAAATAAGCGCAGACGATTTTGGAAACAAGTGAAAAATCCTATGATTTCTTGATGTCTCGTAAAAGACTTTTGGACGGTTTAGTCGAGATTCGGAGTAACTATAATAAACGAGGCGCCGGGAAACTCCATTTGGCAATCTTATTGGCAAACAAGAATTTACGACGTGCCTGGAGATACAAGGAAATAATATTGTGGAAATAACGTTACGTCCTGATTAAGAAATTCCGTCGATCCCGACGTTCGTGTTTGTCATGGCTTAAATATATTCTCAAAATTCGCATAATCCTCTTTGCACTTTTTCATCCTCTCAACGGGATTCTCTGTTACCGACCACCGAAGCACGTGGTGTAATTTTCCTCAAAGCTAATCGGCGGAACGAAATAAAAATAATAATTACAATCTACTCGAAGAAGTAGTCCTCGGTGAAAATACAAATACCTGCATTTGCAATGGTCAATGTCGTACACGATTCATGTGGGCAGTGACTAATGGGTCCCATAAGCACGGATCGTATGGATCAACGAAGGACGAATGAGCGTACTCGTGGTCGAAGGGTATCTACACGGGGTAATCTCGATACCGAATGCCATACACGCTTTGCCTCCTCTATGATTAATGGACATCGGGTGTCTAGAACTCAGCGATCAGGTTTAACTTGTGTTCTGGCGAATCGGCAACGTGAATAATTGCAGCCGTGGAACGAGAAAGACAGAAGTAGAGAGAGAGAGAGAGAGAGAGAGAGAGAGAGAGAGAGAGAGAGAGAGAAAAGAATTTGAGAAAAGTCTAAATAATACAGTCGATTCGTATCGACTCACCGTTGCACTTTCAAGCGTGATTCCCGCCTTGTTATTTTCTAAAAGCGGTGCGCTGCTGCTCTTGCTGCTCAGTTCAACAGGTAGAGGCTCCGGCTTGAGCTGCAGACTCGCGGCAGATGGCGAGGATGGTGCCCGTGGTGGAGTTTGTAGCAATTCGCCGGAACTGAGAGAACTACTGGCAGTAGCCGAGAGGCCTGGAGATGAACAAGATAATGATGTTTTTTAGAGAAAATTGTTGATCCTACTTTTTTTGTTGATATTTTACCTAAAGGCAAGTTCGTCGGTCTGGATGGTTTGATCCTTGGCAAGGAATCATCGAGTCCACTGCTGCTGTCGACAGCATCCTGAGAGTAAAGGTCCTCGTTCTCTCGCGTTTGGGTATGAACGCTCTCCCTCCGGATCCAGACATCCTGACAGGTTTTATCCGAGCGGGAATTCAATTTTGAGGGTCTGCGTCGAATCCTCTCCCACGTTTCCTGCCGATGACACTTGGCAGTGCCTGACGCTGCTTATGGATCAATGACAAACCGAATGTGATGAGGTGATCAAGGGTCCATTCGCCATGGAAGAAACTGACTCACGTTTGGCTAATCTGCGATCAGTGCTTCTTGGTGGACTAGCTGTACCAATTCCACTCTCCAGTGGAGACGCCCTGTCAGTTGTGTCCGGTGACAGACTGCCCGACGAAATTTCGTCCATGCTCTGCAGAAGATCCTGAGACGAGGATGAGGATCTATTGTCGTCGTCCACGGTGTCCTGTGGGGATGCTGGATCCAAAGTACTTTCATCTTGAAGGGATCGGGAATCCAGGTTCGATTCGGCTGCAAGAAATAAATGAGAATCGTTATAGGTAAAACAAAAAATATAGGGTAAAAGAAATTTATGAAGAAAATTAAAGGATTTCTTTACCTCTGGGAGACTCGCAATCGCTGACCCAAGTGAAGCTGGAACTCCTCGAAATAGCCGGCGAGGTCTGCGTTGCCATGTCGGAGCAGGCAACGTTCTCTATCGGTGGACTGTTGGGACAGCAGGATCCCGAACCGTTTCGAAGACGCGACAACAGTGACTGCAATGAAATTGGAAGCTGCAAGAGTAATTAATTAATAGAGCATATTAATCACCGGTTAGAATTCTAATAAAATTGAATTCTCATCATCTTCACAGTGACTCAAATAATTTCCCTAAACTCACCGAACCAGATCTCGCGTTGTGCTCCTCGATCCTCATGATCTCCTCAGTCCCCAGCATCTTCCCGGATTTCCCGCTTTCCACGCTCTCGACAGAGACGTTCCTCTCCGACTGAGGCAGATCGCAATTGACGGCGACGTCGTTACCCTTGCTCTTGGAGAGCAACGCGAATCTCTTGAGATTTACAGGACTTATCTCCCTCACGTCCTTATCCGATTCCGAGAGTCTCTTGGCGCTGACGTCGGAGCGCAGCGTCAACGGCGAAACGGCGCGTTTCTTTTTCCCAGCGTTCCTCGAGGACGAGTCGAGGCTCTTTCGGCTCTCGAATCTCTCATTGGACAGATGCATGAGGTCCTGATCCGGAAGCGAGGACACTCTGACCAGCACAGCGTCATCGGAGCTCTCGTGGAAGACCGGGGTGTGCCTCTTGCGTAGCAATTTCGAAAACGGCGGCTTCTTCTCCTCCGTAGGCGTCACCGGCGCCGATTTCGGCACGTTGTTCTCGAGCGACTTCGACCTGGTGATCGTTTCGTGCTCGTTGCTCGCGAAGACGTCGTCGTAGTCAGGCTCCATCGGATCATTCTCGGGCACCTTACCCCTTTGAAGCTTCGCGTGGCCGGGCTTCCTGCGCTTTTGGCTCATTAAGTTCACCGGCAGGCTGGTCTTTCGCTGAGCCTCCAGATATCTCGGCGGCAGCTTAGACTTTGCCGAGGGCAGCCGCGATGCTTTATTACGATCCTCCGGCCGCTGGACCACTCCGCGGTCGCTCTCATGTGGTCGCGACTCTACTTCGCTGAATTCTAAAGTACTCTTTGGTTCCTGCTTAACAGCATAGTACTCGTAAGGATGCTGGGACACTCTTGGACCACCCGAGTCCAACGGAAGACTAGAACAGTTAGTCGTGGAACATTTGTTCGCGACGGTGACGCAACCACTTGGCTCGTCGTAATCCGAACTGCAAATCTCTTGGTGCCGATCGAACAACGCTGGACCAGTCAACTTTTTCGGCAAACTCACGCAATTCCTGAAAGCCGGCTCCTCCGTTATTCGGTCCCGCGGTTCGTCGTAGTCGGAATTCAGCATGCGGCTCGTCCCTCCGTCGACTTCCCCGTTCTTACTTTCGGGCAGCTCGGCCTTCCCCAGGACGTCCCCGCGAGGACGTCCGCCGGAAGCGACAGAGTGATCGGTCGCGAGCACCTGCTCGTAGCAACTCTCGTCGGAACTCTCGCTATCGAAGATACCGAATTCGTTGAGCAGCTCCCTGTACTCGATTTTACGCTGTTCCTTCGAAGAGCCTCTTCTCGGGCAATCGACCTTCTCGTTACTCAAATCGTTTATTTCCTTAGCGATTATCGTGTTGAACTCGGCCAAAATGTTCTCGGACCAATCCCCGTAATCGTCCCTGCCGATCGTGTTGTAAGCTCTGGAATTCTGTCTCTTGAGGACATTCCTTTTACTCGGCAGAGACTTCGTCCGATCGCCTATCGATTCTCCCAGTCTGTTTCTCGAGTTTTCAGGAAATCTCGGCTCCTCGACGATCTCGAGAGCAGCGGATGGAACGGATTCGATGATCTCTCCGATCTCCTCCTGAACATTAAAAAAAATTCCAATTAGCCCACCGGCATTGAAAAAAATGAATACACCGAGTGAAACCAATGGACTTTTGCTCTAGTCAAGCCGATAAACGTGAAATCCCGTATGGCGAAGCGGTTAGTCGGGGGTCCTTGATACGCGAGATAAAATGAGAGTGAAATAAAAAGGAAGTAATAGAGAGGGCCGATCGCGAAACATGGAAGCGAGGAGCGCGAAGCGGCTCAAGGCTCCCTCGCACGTTCTGGGATAAACGTCGGTGGGGAGTGGAAGAGAGAGAGAGAGAGAGAGAGAGAGAGAGAGAGAGCACGCGTCAACGTTACACACGCTACGTGTGTGTCCTCTCCTCGGCCAAATTCAATTTGCATAAGTCGAGCTTGCAAGTCTCGATCGGCTGAATCGCGTGATTAGGCTCGATAGGACGCCGCGGCTACAACGACGCCGACGCCGAGCCGCGTCGGATCGCGTCCATAGGTGATGCCCGATCGGAGCAACGTGGACCACTCGGTTCCCGAGTACGCGGATGCACCGTGTGCCCACAGCTGGGACTCCGTGCACGTGTGTGACCGTCAAGCATCGCCGTCGGCTACACGCAGACCCACTTTGACGAAAGTTAAAGCCTGCCGATGATAGACTCTCGATCCTTTTATTCGCTGCAGCTGAGCGCACTGGTAATCCGCGATAATTCCCAGCTGGACATGTTCTGGAAGGAGCGGAGAGGATAGGCACTTTGTTAATTGACAGGAGAAAAAATGTAAACCCACCCTCGCCTCTCCCCTCCGTCCAGATAGTCCAGATAGTCCAGATAGTCCAGATAGATCGGCAAACTTCCGACGATTCAATCCCGCCCTTTGACATCCAAGTACAGGATCCGCGCAGTCGTTCGCGCGTCGCGTTGCAGAAAATCTCAAGAAAATCGGAGCCTGATTTTCCGCGATGTCAAAGGGACACGATGTAACTGTTCGACCCTTGACAGGTGCCCGATTAAGCGCAGGAAAGGAGCCTCCTGCGATAGGACAATGACAAGGAGGACGACAGTGACGCTAGAACTGAGCCTAATCGTGTGTTTCTATGTATAAGATCGTGGCGACATTGCGGTCCATCGTCTATACGGAGAGTGCGGGATGCTGGGTACCAGGAGAGTAAAATATTCAGAGTACGCACGAGGATCTGGACCGTATCGTTGAAACGTATATCCACGTGTACGCGTATACGTAGATAAACAAGCCAACGTTGTCGCTGGTTTTGCATGAACTCTCTCATGCGTGTGAAATCCCATCGAAGCGATTGGAGGATCGTAACGAGAGGGGAAAAGGTTAAACAAGGAACGGCAGGATGGTTCAGGATAACAGAAGGAGGTTGACGTTGCGCTAAATAAACGCACCCCTATTTATATAACGTCTACATGTATCATGCATAGAGAACGATGGAACAGGAGAATAGGACGGGGCAAGCTGGACCCTCCCGTACATGTCCAAGGGGGTTTAGGATCAGTTACGTGTAAAATTAGGTTGATTTGAAAATCAACTATAAAACGCGATACGAACCTTGGGGTTATCCCAATTGGGAGGAATTTGCCTATACACGGAGATACCGATAAGAAAGTTTGAGAAAAGATGAACCGAAGGCAGCCGAGTTTCAAAGTTCCATCGTCGAAGCTCATGGCGCCGGGAAACGGGTGAAGCCGCAACTGAGAGTCGCAGCCTCTGCCGGAGCGATTAGAGCCAACCTCGCGGTTGACAGAAGTCGTGTCCGACTACTTAGCCAGAGTGCGCGGCAGTGATCAATTATCATTTCACAAGCGACACGAGGCTTTAACCACGCCTGCGATTCGATACGGTGTTACTTTCACACTGCTGCCTAGACTCCTCGCGGAACGTTACTGCACGCTCGGCGTGGTCGGCGTGGTCGGCGTGGGCGTCCATTGGAGGAAGCTGGCAAACTGCAGGCCGAGCGCCGTGCGGAGCTTAGAACGCAATTGCCCGTTGACACGTGATCGCGTGACCGGAGGGGGTGACAAAAGTGCGAGAATGGAGGTGAGAATTTTGAAAAAAAAAAAAAAAAAAAAAAAAAAAAAAAAAAAAAAAAAAAAGTAAAAGATACCTCATACAAGTAAAATCAAATTCCATAGAAACTAGGGCAGCGTTCCCACCGGGGACGTCGAGGCGTCATAGCAATACATATACATATATACAGCTCGTTCTCGATATCGAAAAACTTGGAGATCTCAATGAAACTGCATCTATAGGTGGTATCAGCAGGGTTACGCAAGCGATACGCCAGGCTCAACGAGCGATATACCGAGCTTATCGTAAGGTATTAATTAGAAATCCCCTCAATTAATTAGCCTGCTTGTACAGAGATCGTTGGGATTAAGGAGCGCGTGAGAGGTCGAAAAAAAAAAAAAACAGGCAGCGATTCTAATTACACGGCGTAAGGTTACCCTGACGTTGCCTATGGTCGTTTTATGGAGACTTCCCCCTCCCCCTCCCCCCCCTCCAGCCACCAAACTAGACAATTGGACATATGCCACTAACAGCTGGGTACTCTGGTATACGCGCAGTGGGGTATTTCCCAAGTAGGAATAATTCTTCCTGCGAAGTAACGTTGCGCGAAGAAAGTAACTCGAGTCACTGGCGAGGAGTAAAAATCTTTCGTAGTAAGAGACGGGAAGATGGGAGTCTGGAAGAAAAAAAAAAATATGTATATAGCCACGCGGCATACCGGAGCTCCTTGGCTGCGCTACACGCAGACCTTATAAATCTCCGAACGGCACGTGATAACCTCGAACGAACCAGGACGTCGCTGAACGTCCGGACGCGCATACGAGTGCACTGAGGGATCGCGGTTTCCATTGGCAACGGATTAAAAAAAAAAAATGATGATTTCGGATGAACGGTGAATGGCGTCGTTGCGCCATGCGTCTCGGCGGTTCACGTCGATCAATGAAATATATCGCGAACGTACGCGGAGTCGAGAGATCCGAAGCCAATGAATAATTCAAAGTGATCGGCCGATGAGGACGGCGATGCCGGTGCTAAGGTTCGCGGCTGCGCCGGGTGTTACAGGTCAAAGGGTCGGCGGGAGCCCAGAAGCGAACGGGGGGTTCAACATTTAAAGGGGAAATTAGCTCGGTACAGCTCGAGATGCTCGGCCAGGAGCAAATACGATTGTATTCGTATGTCGTGACATGAGGTAAACCTGTAATTTTCTTGATCGTCGGTAGAAAGCCAAGGGGCCCATCGGCACTTCGAATGTAATGAGCAGCCCGGCGGACTCTTCCGACTTAACGATTATTACTCTTGATTCTGACTTGCGAGAAAGTGTTTCGTTTCTTCTCTCTCTCTCTCTCTCTCTCTCTCTCTTTCTCTCTCTCTCTCTCTCCCTCTCTCTCTCTCTCTCTCTCTCTCTCTCTCTCTGTGCTCTCTTGCTCGAGTCCTCCTGTCGGTCTGTTCTTCCTTTCCGTGTCTACATCTCGCCTCTACGTCATGCATATTCTACACCTGTATCAAAGGGAACGGGACCGTCTCCTTATGTACGTGTAGATTCTTCGGCATTAATAGGTCAGATATGTTGAGGCTGTAAGAAACGGTATCTTCGCCTTGGAGTAGCTTGAGGCTACGACGGGCTCAGACAGTGTCGAACTTGTCGGCGTGTTGAGTACGAACAATGTATCGTTAAGGTTACCTCACACCAGCGTGCGTGTAACACCGTGCAGGTATGGTCGACGAAATTAAAGGAAAAAAAAAAAGAAATAGACTATGGCGTGTCCTTTGAAGAAAAGTGTTCACGGCGGATGCATTTGACGCGCGACGGGTGTTGACGTTTGCGGGACACGTGCGTCGCTTCGAAATTTTATAACCAAACGAAGGCTCGTCGATCATCGGCAAACCGTGAAATTGTAATGCAGACTGCGATCGAGATACGCGAAATCAAGGACGCCATCCTTCGCCACCTTCGCGCGACGAAGGAACCTCAAGGATCGATTGCAATTGCGAAATGCGTCGTCGATCGGTAGGAAATCGGCGTGAATTAAATGGAATCGGGTCCATTGCTGATCGGAAGGATTCGCGAGGTAATATTTGGCCAAACAGATAATTTATACAAAAACAGAAATCTGAATCGATTCGTTGAACAGAAATTTCTCTTCAATTATTGGAATATCGTTAAGGTCGATTGTCGCTGTCGACGCGTATCCTTTTCCTTTCACCGATTAGGAAGAATGGACGTAGAATTTGTTTGCGCGCTCGAGCCCAAAGTGGAATTTCCGAAAAGCGAGTCCAAGAAAAACAATTCCAAAAAGCGCCGGGAGATCAGCCCGAGGTGATCGATGAAATTCGAACCTCTGTTCCGGGTCCGAGGTGTACTGCGATTGAATCGTTCGACCATCCACTTTGAAAGATGCACGGACGTGCCAGCCTCTGAATTATCATGACGGTGACGTCAGCAGCCAAGAACTTAGAGCCGCCTTTAACAGGCTTAATGTCGCGGAGCCGTGACTCTCCTACTTTAATAAATAATTGTAAAAAAAAAGTAGAAAAATAAAAAAAGTACGCAAACACAGCACGAGCGACGCTTTTGGCTTTGAAACCTCGAAGCCTCGACGAGACCTTAAAACCAGGTACAGACCTCAGGGAGCCTCGAACCGGAGAAGCACGTGCTGGTATCTAGGCCACTCCTGTTGTGTCCGAATTGCGTGTCCGGCCTGAAACGATCGTTTCCGGCGTCGAGTATCGACCGAAGAAATTCTTCGTCCTGTGTCGTCGCCGCGTTGGCTCAAAAATAATCTCCCGACTTTATCAGTGATAACCGAAACAACAGAGCAGTGCGCGTGTCGAGGTGCCAAGGAGGTCGATTAATTTTCGTGTCGCAGACAGAATGCTCGCGTAATAGTTAAATTCGCAACGGCTTATCCATTAATCTGCGCGACACCTGGCTACGTGCGAGTCGATTAAGGAGTCGTCACACCGACGCACAAGGCACGGGTGCTCGCAAGA